TTACAAGTAAGCAAATATATTTGAAACAGAATGAGGCTGCAGATAATTGCACATCTTTAAGGCAGGAGACTCTGGAGTTCAAGGGCATGCTGGATTATATGGTGATATCCTGTTTCAAAAAGGAAAATGGCAGGACTGTAGAGATGGCTCAGTGGTTAAGAGTACTGGCTGCTCTTGCAGAGGACACTGGTTCAATTCCCAGCACCCACATGGTAGCTAACAACTATCTGTAACTCCAGTTCCAGGGGATATGACACCCTCTTCTGACCTCCTCTGGCACTGCACAACATGGGTGCACTTACACACAAGGAGGCAATACACTCATACCCATAAAATAAAAATATAAATAAAATGTTAAAAAAAAGTGGCAGGGGGGTGGTGGCTTGGGGTTAAGAACATTTGGCTGCTGTTGCAGAAGCCCCAGGTTTTGTTCCCAGCATCCACACAGAAGCTCATAGCCACCTACAACTCCAGTTCCAGGGTTTCTGATGTCCTCTTCTGGTTTCCATGGGCACCAAACATTGCAAGTGGTACACATATATACATGCAGACACTCACACACATAAAAGAAAAATAAAACAAAAAAACCCAAGCTAGACATGGTTTTACATGCCTTTAATCCCAACACTTGGAAGGCAGAGACAGGCATATCTCTGTTAGGTCAAGGCCAGCCTAGTCTCCTAGCTAGTTCAGACCAGCCAGGCCTATATAGTGAGACCCTGCATCAAAAAGAAAAAAACGAGAATTTTTAAAATCTGGATATGGTATCTCATGCCTATAATGTTAGTACTTGGGAGGCTGAAGCAGAAGGATTACTATGAGATAAAGAACACATGGTTAGAGAGTAAAACCCTGTCTCCAAAAAAACAAGCCATTCCTTCTTTGTGTAATGGCCTAATCCTGGAACTAGATTTATCAACTTAAACGAATACAGGAAGATGAATTCTGAATTTTTTATATACTTTTATGATAGGTAAGTATCTTAGAAGACAGATTATCAAGATAACACCCTTTTAAGCATGTGTGCAGATTACTTGCCATGTGTTTTGAATTGTGGGTCAGGCTTTTAAGTGGTTCTGATAGAATGAAGTTCAGTGAAAAGAAACACAATGCTTTTGTTCTCTGCTGTATATCGAGCACCCAGAATGCTGTCTGGCTCCTTTGTAGGGTATACAAAAGTATATTTTGAATCAACCTTATTTTCCTTATTTCCAGACAATGGTGCAGGTGTTAGGAGGCCTTACAGGATGTGTTCAGCATGTCTGTGCTACACAGGAATCCATCATTCTAGAAAATATTCATAGTCTACCATCCTCAATACTTCATGTGATCAAAAGTACATTTGTACATTGTAAGGTGAGTTAATGAATCTAGTAGGCTTTAATTAGCCTAGACTCCCTGGGCGTCAGGGCTGAATAAGTGTTTCTATATAGGATTTTATACTTTAGCTGATAATATTGGGACAGACTTTTTCTGGAGAGCATAGAACATGTGTAAATACTGTAAATAGGTTTCAGAAGTGGTTAAAAAGTGACCTTTGAGGGGCCTGGAGAGATGAGTCAAAGGTTAAGAGCACTGACTGCTCTTGCAGAGGACCTGGATTCAGTTCCCAGTACCCACATGGTGGCTAAGAACTGTCCTTAACTCCAGTTCAGGGGAACCTGATGCCTTTTTCCGACCTTCGCAGCATTGCATGATGCGGGTGCACTCACATGCAGGCAATACACTAGTCCACATTAAATTTTTAAAAAAAAGTGACCCTTGAGGTCTTTTTAATAAAGATTTTTGTTTGATCACAGGCATCTTGAAATTGTTGTGTTACATAACAGAGGGAGGCTAATTAACTCAGTCTATCTCAACATTTTTGAGTCAGCTTTAAAGCACAAAAGATGGCTTGGAATTTGTGGGGCCTAGGCAGTTTTGACATTGCTGTTTTGTTGATAAGTGAAAATTGCTAGTTAACTAGACTTGAATCTGTTGACAAGATGCTAAAATGCCATGTGCTTTATACATTCGTATGTCTCTCTTAATTGTATTTTATAAAATTGGGCGTTCATTTAGTGATGTGATTCTGTCAAAACATTAAATTTATGATCTTAGTCTCTGACAGTGTGAATTAAAGTGAACTTGTCTCGAGCTTTTTATGGTTTACTTTTTCTCTCTTTATATCTTTGTGATCAGAATAGTGAATCTGTGTATTCTGGTCGTTTGCACCTGGTGTCAGACCTTCTCCAGGCTCTTTTCAAGGAGGCCTATTCTCTTCAAAAGCAGCTGATGGAATTGTTGGACATGGTTTGCATGGATCCTTCAGTAGATGAGAATGACGTACTGAATATGGTAGGAGGTAAGTAAAGAAAAATTGCTGCTTAGGTATGATGCAGAATGACTTTCCTTTCTCAAGTACTGAAACTAATACTTCTGTTGATTCATGGTCTGTTACTTGTGAAAAAATATTCTAATTCTTTCTAAATTTTCTTTTAAATTTTAAATTTGTAAAGTTTTTGTATAATCCATCATAGATACGGGTATCCAGTTAAAATTTGTAGTAGATAATTTCCACACAAAGATTTAACAAGGTATGCAACTCCATACCCTTAATCTAGTCCATATTCTGATATAGTAGCTTTCAGATTATTTTCACCATAACCCATAGCAAGAAATACAGTCAAAATTCCTTCCAGAATACATATGTACATGTGTGGGTTTATGAATGTGTACAGGTACACCCACAGACATATTTATCCTAATGAAATAATACCCATCTTACATGTGATGCCCTCTATTTTCCTTTTGCTGGGAATTTAACACGAGGTTTTACATGTACTGTTCCATTTCTAAAGAATTGCTAGTTCTAGGCTGGGTGTGGTGGCCCGCATCTTTAATACCAGCATTTGGGAGGTGGAGGCAGGCAGGTCTCTGAGTTCCAGGCCATCTGGGGCTACAGGGAGACCCTGTCTGGAAAAAAGAAAGAATAATTGCTAGTTCTTTAGAATTAGCCAGGTGTGATGGCACAGGCCTTTGTAGCACTTGGAAACCTGAAGCAGGAGGAATGCCAAGTAAGTTCTAGGTGAGCCTGGTCTACAGAGTAAACCCCTGTCTTCAGAAACATAAAATGAAACCAAAGTTACTGATTGAAACCTACTTTATTGACTTCATTACTCATTAATACATTATAATTTTAATTAATTTATCTAGAATTCTAAAAGAAATACATTAAATAGGAGAACAAAGAGTATATTCCTAGCTTTGGTATAAAGAGAATAAGTTGGTTTTATACAATGTATCAGGTACCTTTTGCTCTATAACAAAGCAACCTAAAAATCTGTTGGTTTAAATTAACTTTTGTTCACAATTCTTTGAGCCTCAGTTTAGGCTGGGATTTCCAGAGACAGTTTTCTGTGTAACTGGCTCATTTATGTATTTGCAGTTGAGAATTCCACTTGCTTCTATTTGCAGAGGCAGAAGTAGTGAGAAATTCAGGTGCACGTATCACCTAGCAAATTAGCCCAGGCTCAGTCACCTTATCGTAGGGTTTCCCAGAGTAGCAAGAGAGGGCAAGTCCCAACACACACGCTAGTACTTCCAGAGCTTGCTTGTGCTTTTATTATTGTGCCTTTTACCAAACTCTCAGAGACAGTATGGCTTCAGGAAGGCAGTTGGGCCATTTTTATACCTCGTACTAGCAGGATAAAAACACTGTTGGTGTAAATCAGTTTCAGTCTTTGTTAGGTTCCTTAGCAGTTTGTCAATTTTTTCATTAAAATTGGTCTGTAGAATATTTGAATTATAGAAGGATGCAACTCTAATTCCACTAACATTTTTAGTTTTATTTATGCTATCAGGTAGCTATCAATTTCAAAATTACATTTTCATAATTTTTGAAAAACTTAAAAATACTACCTTTTCAGTAATTATTTTGACCGAGTTATTTTCAAACTATAGTACCTACTTTAATTCAGTCAGGTGTTGAAATGTCCACTTCATCCTTTTAAATATATAAGAAAATGTCATCTTTCACATTTCATTATCCTAAGAGTTGTTTTCCTCCTTTGTAGTTATTCATTCATTGTTGGATATCTGCTCTGTTATTTCCAGTATGGACCAAGCATTTCATGCGAATACTTGGAAGTTTATAATTAAGTAAGTTTGTTAGTTTTTCTTTTTCATAATGTATTTTCCATATCCCAAATCCTGATGGTTCATGTTTCTTAGATTGCATTTGAAACATTGTTTGTGGTTGTGTTTATTCACTGACACTGCTATATGTTAATCCTGATATTACACATATTATGTCCCAACCAAACTGAACGTCTCTGAACTTATTTATACTGCTGTCTGAAAAAGAAAAGAAAAAATTTTAGCTAAGCTGGTACTTTTGAGATAATGGACTGTCAACTAGAGTATGCCTGAGCCACTTACCTGTTAATGCTGTTGGTTAGCCAACTGTCAATATCAAGTATGGTATTTGTAAGCTTAGAAATGAGTAACAGATTTGGAGCTTATAGTAATCTCTTCATTATGTACAGATGAGTTATGAGTTATTCACACTTAATTCCATTTACAAAGTAATTTTAACTTGAACTGAAGGGTTACTAGGGAGACTACCTATAGCATTCATTAGTTTTTTAGGGGTAAAAGGCATCCTTGAGATGTAAGAATGATTAAGGATCTACTTCATAATCATGCATAATAGATAAAAGTTCAATGTGCGCATTGGAGGTTTAGGTGCTTTTCTTGTAGCCCTAGGACATTAACTTGCAAACAGATAACAGAATGTCACTTGAGAGCCATAATACATGTTCTCCAGTTCACCCTGAAATCACTGCTGAGTCTCTGGGCAATTTGGCTAATTTCTTTGTACTTCTGTTTGTTCATCTGAAAATAAAATAATGATAGGACCTTCTTGATAGTGTTACTGAGTATTGAGTTCATCATTGTAAAATGCTTACGCTTTACATGATCCAGTGAGTGTTGAGTGAATTAGCCACATGGCTACCACTACTGTCATTGTTATATATCTTGCCTCTTTTCAGGTACTCTGTTTAGAATGATACTTTTGAAAATTAAATTGAATCTCAACTGCTTTAAATCAGTCTCACTGTACTAAAAGTAACTATTTAAATCGTTCTGGATGTTTCTTCCTTTACCAGCCCCTCTCATGCTGCACTCTCCCTGCCCTCAGTTCCTCAAACATACAAAATTCTGTCCCAAAGCCTTTCAGCTTCCCCCCGTAGACGGCACTCCTTTCCTGCTTTGTGTCATGTAAGCTCCTGCACAGTTCTCAACTGTGGTGTTGCATTTTTATGATAGTGGTTTTTTGTTTGTTTAAAGACATGGTCTCCCTGTAGCCGCAGCTGGCTTGGAACTCACTATGTAGACCTGGCTGGTCTCTATTTCACAGAGACCCACCTGCTTCTCCCTCTGAGTGCTGGGATTAAAGGTGTGCGCTACCATGCATTGCTTGATGGTGTTTTTTGACAGTGCCCTCCATCTTAATAAGATTGAGTCATGCTTTTGTAGTGTTTAGACTTTTTCATCTTAGCATTTCTCATGACTGTAATTTATTATTCTTATATTTATTTCTGGTAGGCTATATTTCATATAGATAGAGAAAATATCATTTTCATTTGATATACTTATCTTCAAGGCCTAGTGGAGTACCAGGCAAATATGAGTTCAATTAATATTTTATAAAGACATAAAAATATAGCAACTAGCTTCACAGGTATAGTTGACACATTCTTAATTGTACCATGTTTGATATAATACATGTGTTTTAAAATGTTGTATAAAGTAGATATCATGTGCTTGAGTTATTTGATGTGATCACTTGTCACTTGCGGTGATTTTATTCTTTTCTTTTATCCATTTAGGCAGAGCCTTAAGCACCAGTTGGTTATAAAGAGCCAGTTGAAACACAAAGATATAATTACTAGCTTGTGTGAAGACATTCTTTTCTCCTTCCATTCTTGTTTACAGTTAGCGGAGCAGATGATGCAACCTAATGCACAGGTAAAATCTAGTCTAACAACAGTACAAATAGCTCTTAATACATCTTATTTGAACATGTGGATTACTGTCAACAATTATTTATTTTCTTTTGAAAACTGTAGGATTTTTTTCAGCTCAGAATTACTTTTACCAGAACACTATGTTACATGAACTTCTTTGATCTCTTCTAGCATCTTCCTGTCCCTTGTCTTTGCATCTGTACTAGTTGGTCAGGGTATTCTCCTCAGAATCCATTTGTTCTTTTCTGCCCTAGAACAACATTTTAATTTCTTGGTTCTTCCATTTGTTTAAGGTTTTCTTATAATGTAGCCATTGTCAGCCTTTCTGTTGACAACAATGTATTGCAGCCTTGAGCGACACAAGTGTTTGTATATGTGTGTGCACAGATGTGTGTTTTTATTAGCTCTTTAAAATCAGTATGTATTTATGCTTTTGATTTCAAGAACTTTCAGTATTGAACTGGCATCCAGTTTATGAAGTTTGTGTTATAAAAATAAAAGGATTATTTGGACTTAACAGCTCATTTTCCTATAATAGTATTATACATGGTTTCTTTTGTTCCTACACTAGCCTTCTAAATTTATTTAGACACCCCTAAGTACCCAGGGCCTAATTGTAACTGTAATGGAATGAGTTGAAAATTCCTGAAATGGCGGTAATACAGCTCTTCCTCTTACAGACCTACAAGCTGAGTGAAGGTTGCTTTGTCTGTGTTCTTCCCTACCAAGCATGTGGGGTGGGAAAGGCAGAGATTTTATCCAAGTTCCCAAGCTGGTGGCAACTCCTGGAGTAGGGATTACCTAGAAGAGCAGATCCCAGAGGAGGGTAGAACTTTGAAAAGGCGTTATAAAAGTTATAAGAAAGCGAGTAGTAGTTTCAACAAGAGGTTAACCTTTTTCCTTTTTGCTTCTCTCCTTTTCTCTTGTCTATTATAATTCCTTTAGATGGCTTGACTCCCCCACCCCCTTTTTTTTTGTTTTTGCACTTTCTGGTTCCTGTCACCTTGCTGATAGAAGTTATTTGTTGGGTATCCTGGGTTCATGGCAAAGAAATTGTCTTTTCTACCTTTATTTTATAGACCTTCCGTATTTAGTCCCAGCCTCCTCCTTTCCAATTCCCTTTTGCTTATCTTGACACAACAGACTCACCAACTAGTAATTCAAGAGTAAGGTTAGACAGACTCCTGGATAGGAGGGAAACCCAAGGAACAGTATAGCCTATAGTGGCAAGAGAAAAGGAAGCTGGGGGAAGGGTATTCATAGCCACAGTGGCTATTTATACATGAGATACACACACACACACTTTTTTTTTTTTCATTTATCTTAAGTAAGTTGCTTGCATGTGAAAATGAGGGAATTGCATTGAAAATTCCTCTAACTGTCCAAGCAAATTCTCGTGTTTTGACTTAGCATGTGTAAATATTGAACTGGTCAGTGTGGTAGGCTTCTGAGATAGTTTATACAGTATATTATTTTAATCTTTATATTCTAGTCAGCAGTGCCCTCTGCTGTTCACTATTGATGTATTTAGGGAGTTTTTCCAACTAGGTATCATCCAGTCTACTTGGGCTGCTATAACAGAATACCTTAAAATAAGTCATTTATAGATAATAGAAATTTATTTTTCATAGTTCTGAAGTGTGGGACATTCAAGATCAAGGTATCAGCAGATTCTCTATTATGAGGGCTTGCTCTCAGCTTCAAAGATGTCACCTTGCAATCTCTTATGGTCAGGAATAAGATAGCTCCCTGCAACCTCTTTTAAAAGGACACTAATTCCATTCATAAAATAATCACTTCCTCAAAGGCCCTGCTTAATACTGTTGCATTGTTCCTAGATAAATTGGGCATAGGGGCACCAAAATTTGGATCATAGTATCTTACTTTAGAAAGTGTCAAAGTACAACTAGTAAATTTAATTGTAGTTGTAAATTTAATTTAATTGGGCATATCAATCTCTCTTCCCTGGTTGCCATTTTTTTAAAAAAAAAGATCACAAACTGAGTGGCTTTAAAGCAACGAAATTATTCTCTTCACTGTTCTAGAGGCATTAAGTCCACAAGTGGCAGTAGGGTTATGTTCTGTCGAGGGGGAATCTGTTCTGTGCCTAGCTCTAAACTTCTGATGTTGTTGTCAGTCCTTGACTTTCCTCAGCCTATAGCTGCAGATTCCAGTCTCTGCCTCCATTTTCACTTGGTATATTCTCCCTGTGTCTTTCCATCTTAGGAGGGTGCCATACCAGAGTATGGCTAGCCTTTATCTCATTTTATCTGCAGTGACCCTATTTCTAAAAAGTATTGGGTTGGGGTAAGAATGTCAACATACCTTTGCTGGGTGGGACACAGCTCAACCCATAATAACCTCTAAAACTGTTATTCTCTTACTAAATCTTGACTCTAGTTTCAAAAAGAACATTGAATCAGACTTCTCATCATAAAGCTTTTTAACTACTAGTCATTTGGTTTTGTAGAATTAGAGAAATGTATTTATTTGTAAGGCACTTATATCTCCACTGTGTTTCTTACTTTGGGGGCTGAGATGGCTTGGCGGGTAAAGTACTTGCTGCCCAAGTATGAGGATCTGAGTTTGGATCTCTAGCACCCATAACAGGGCACACCTATAACCTCAGTGCTGGGGAAGTAGAGACATATATATCCTCAGAGCTCACTGACCAATTAATGCAACCAAAATGACAAGGTCCAAGTTCAGTGAGAGCTCCCATCTCAGGAAACTAGGTGAAAAGGTAGAGGAAGATACCTACAGTTGACCTCTGTCTTCACGTGTGCATGCATGAGTGTGGGATGGTTATGCCACAGCACATCCTTGTGGAGTTGGTTCTCCATCCATTCTTTCATGAATTTCAGGGATCAAACACAGGTCTCCAGGATTTATCTGTTGATTGATCTCACCGGCTCCTAATTTTCGTATATTTAAACTTGGATAGTACTAAGAGACTTTATACCAGTAGCATAAAAGAAAGATAATTGTCTATACAGTTTTTGCTGAGGACACTTGTTTCCAGTTAATGTTTAATGACGGTCAAATGTTAGTGGATCATTCGATTCCATTTTGATTCAATTTAATTAAGGTCTTGCTATATTTGGAAATGAACTGAACATAGATAATAATGCTATGATAGATTTCTTTCACATGAAATAATTTTCAATATTAAAGGTAATTTATTTGATTTAATTTTATGCTAATTTTAAAACTACCCATCCTTCGACTTTCTGTATCATGAGAGTTTATCTGCCCTGTTCTTAGCAATATGGAATTACAATGTTATGAGTATATCATAAATATATTTAACCATTTTCTATGTGATGGATGCTTGGCTCAGTTTAACAAGACATGGCATTGCATAATGGTTCCAGTATTTTGATAGTTTAGTTCCAGAAACAAAATTGTTAATCAAGAAATTCTTTAGCCCTTAACAAAAATGAATAGAGAATGTTATTTTATGTTTTCGCCAGTGATTAGCAGAAGTACTTATTACCCTACTTTACTCTCCATCCAAGGAATATTATGTGTCATCTTTCTAAGCTTTGCTAATTACAGAGCCTTCAGTCCTTCCCTCTCTCAGATGTGTAATTAGGCTGTAATTTGGAATTTTTCAGTATTTGTTGGCTGTTGGTAGGTATTCCTCTGAATTGCCTTTTCTTGTCTTTTATCACTTTTATGTGTCAGTGACTTTTCTTTTGATTATTAATTTGATCCCTGTATACCACAGCGCAGTAATAAATTCTTTAAAGTTAATTTGTAAATCAACTAAAAATGATAACTATTTTTGCTATTATAGTTTATAATTCATTTTTAGGAACGTAGAATTTCTTTGACATGTCTCTTACTATTTCGTATTTGTATTCCTACTAATAATAATGCAGAAAATAATTATGTTTTCTTGGGATACTGTATAGTCTTCTTGTTTGAGTATTTTTAGAAAATTTCATCTCACAAGTTTAGCCTTCTTTTTCCTTTCTTGGAGCAGGATAATGCTGATTACAGATTGTTTCAGAAAACACTCAAATTGTGTCGTTTCTTTGCTAACTCCCTCTTGCACTACACTAAGGTAAGGCCTTTTTAATAGTACTTAAATATAAAACATACACTAAATTCTAAATGGTCGTTTTGAATGTGGTGGGGGTGCTTGCCTGTATGTGCATGTGTGGAAGCCAGAAGTCGACATCAAGTGTCTTGTGTTGCTCTCCACCTTATTTATTTTGGGGTCTTTTTTTGAGATAGGGTCTCCCTGTAACCCCAGCTGACCTGGAACTCACTATATAGACCAGGTTGGCCTTGAACTCACAAACATCTGCCTGCCTCTGCTTCCCAAGTGCTAGGATTAAAGGCATGCACCTTCCATGCTCAGCTTCCACCTTACTTTTTGAGGCAAGGTCCTCCTTGAAACTAAAACTTTCTATTTTGGGTAAACTACCTAGCCAGTGAGCTCCTGAGGTTTGCATATCTCTGCCCCCCAGTACTGGGGCTATAGGCATTTTCTGCCATGCCTGGCTTTTATGTGGGTTTTGTAGATTTGAACTCAGGTCCTTTTCCTTTCATAGAGTGCTCTTATCCAGTGAGCTATTTCCCCAGCCCCCAGCTTGCCAATTTTTGTGATTCATGGCAAAACTAATCATTTAAATTTATTTTTTGAGGTATATTTTGGAGATCTTTTTATGATTTAATACTGTCAATTGTTAAAATATAGAGCATCTGTTATTTACATTGCAGTCATCATCATTGGTATTTTTATTAAATTTTGCAGAAAAAAGGGCATTTTTGTAAGCACAGATCATTTTTCATAGTTTAATTCAGTTTGTAATTAAATATTATTTACAAATTATCTACTATTTCAGATTGTTAAACTTCAGATTTTAACATTTAAATATTAATGTCCTTGAAATGTCCTAATTTTAAGGAGATCTGCATATTACGGTGTTTTCAGAATAGCAATTCTGTTAGAAGGTACATGACTAAGATAAATAAGTTCTCCCAGAAGATTGTTTGGGAAGAAGAGCAGACTGAAGGAAGCATTGTTATTAGTAGTTGTTAATGGATTTTTGTTTTTTGTTGTTTTTAAACTATTATCCAGATAGAATTAAAAAAAATTTTTAAAACATTCTTTGATCATTTCATGCATATATATATAATGTATTTTAGTAATTCTCTCTCTCCTTTACCCTCTTCTCATCCCCCTCCCACTCCTACTGAACCCCATCTTTCCTAGTCCCCTTTTTTTTTATTGAGTTCCCTTTTTTAAAAATAATTTACTGATTTTTAAAATTTTTTAAAATTTTATTTATTTTTTTTGTATGTGTAGTGGTTATGAGCCAGCCCATGTGGATGCTGGAAATGGATTCCAGGTCCTCTGTAAGAGCAGCAAGCATTCTTAACATTTCTCCAGCCCCTTGTTTTTGTTCCTATATGACCTACCAAGTTTAATCTGAGTTATTGCATGAATATCAGTGGGGGATTATTTCCTAGAACATGGGCAGATAACTTATATCAATGGCTACATCATTGATGAAAATGACTCCCCCCTGGCCTACCAACTATTAACTGCTCGTCCTCAGAGAGGGTTGGACCTCATCTTGTCCAGGTTTGGGCAAGTAACCACAGTTTGTATGACTTGATGGGTGTATACCCATGTCATGCCCAGAAGACAGTGATTCACAGGACTCCTCTCTAGCCTCTGGCTCTACATCATTCTATTCTCTCCCTCTTCTGTGATGTTCTTTGAGCCTTGGAGGGAATGATACAGCAGATACTTTTAGGAGTGAGCACCTAACAGTCATTCTCAGCGCTTTGACTAATTCTGAGTCTGTATTAACCATTGCCCACTGCAAAAGCAGTTTCACCAAGGCTGAGAGCATCATTAGTCTATAAATATAAATATAACTATGTTGAAGCCTTTTTAACAACATATCCTTTTAGCAATACAGTATTAGTAGGTTCTCCCCTAGGATCTATGACTTCCCCAGTCATGTGGAGAATTTGTTTTTGTCCTTATCTTTCTACCTTTTAAGGAGAGAGCGTATCCTCAGTGACTGCTTATTATAATCTGAATTCCATCAAAGGCACATTGGCTGCGGACACCTGTTTACTTGGCATGGAAACCAAGTTACAGTAGCCTGCTTCCTACACTGGGTTCTTTGTATTTTGCATGGTGACTGCTCCAGTGGCGGAGATACATTGCTAGAAGTGCTTCAGTGGCACGTGATGAGTATTGGCCCATTTGATATACCATTGGCTTGGTATATAAAAACTAAAATTGTCCTAATTTTGTCGTTAAAAAAAAAAAGTCAGTTATTTTCTTCAGGGGCTTTAAAAAAGTTGAACACTAGTGTTTTATTCACTGTCCTAAAATTCAGTGTAAACTGTTAATTCCTAAGAGATAATCTGATTAATAATGGATAAGGAAATCACACCTGGGATTTGGATCTTGCTTTACAGCTTTTTAGCTATGTGACTGAAGTTATTTGATATCTGACCTTTAGTTTTCTCTTCCATGAAAGGAGTGTAACTGGGAGCCCCATTAATTAGAGACGTCACTCTTGGAATAGTTTGACCAAGAGTGGGCCTGACCTTATTTTGAGGTATTCTGATTTCTCTCAGAATTGTATTGAATAAAGGGCTCCTCTCATATTTATTGAACCACTTACCAAGCATGGTATTAGAAAAGCATGAACAATATTTTGATAACAGTTTTACAAAGGAAGAAATTGTTTATATTTTATTATTCTTTTCATTTTATGTGTATGGATATACTGCCTAAACGTATGTAAGTGCATCTGTGTCATGCAATACCCATGGAGGTCAGAGCACCGGATTCCCTTGAACTGGAGTTACAGATGGTTGCCAGACACCATGTGGGTGCTGGCAGTTGAACCCGGGTTCTCTGCAAGAGTAGGCAGCACTCTTTAACTGCTGGACCATCTCTCCAGCCCACTTTCAACATTTATGGGGGAGATGTTTTCTGGGTCATTGCTGTCAAAATCTCATGCACACATACATTGTAGTGAATCAAGGGCATATCTGAGTCACAAATAGGGAACGTGGTATAGGATTAAAGCTATTTATTTAACTTGTAAAAAGGTTGCAAGTCATTGCAGAACTGATTGATTACATTGATTTTCTTAGGAGTACATAGTTCTACATGTTCTCAAAACATGATTAACTTGGTTTACAAGGTTTTGCAAAAATTTCAGTTTGTAAAGGCTTGTTCATCATTCCTACAAATGGGGACAACAGTGCGTAGTAAGTTTTGACAACTAAAAGCAGAGAAGCAAAAGTCTCTTGGTATATGTCTGGTCACTTAGTAGGTACTTAATGACAGTGACTAATGTGGTCTGATGGTGTGCTAACAGCAGAGCTCTAGCAACTTAGCCTCATCTTTTACATTCTCATGTCAGCTTTTTTCTCTTTTCTTTTAAATGTGGCGCATTCAAGGTTTTTATTCTGCCTCTTGTGGGAGAGAATATGGATTAGACATGTAACATACAAAGAATGACTAGAATATTTTATTTTAGGAATTTCATACTTTCCTGTCTGATTCTTGCTGTATTTTGCATCAACTTTATCTTCAGATATACAGGTAAAAAGAATGCCTTAAGATTATTAAAAAGTAACAATGCCATTTGTTCCATGTAATGTTTAAATATTTATCATTTTAAAATAAAATATCACAATGAATTTTTCTAATGTTTTAGTAAATTTTTACTTACTTGCCTAAAAAGCTTTAGAAGGATAGAGTCCATGTGAGTTTTGTATTGTATTCTTTTTAAAAAAATATTTATGAGTGTATTGCCTACATGTATGTAAGTGCACGTGTGTCATGCAGTGCCTGCAGAGTCAGAAGAGGGTGTTAGAATCCCCTGGAACTGGAATTATGGATGGTTGTTCACTGCTATGCAGGTGCTAGGAATCAAACCCAGCTCCTCTGTGAGAGCAGCTGGTGCTCCTAACCAGTGAGCCATCTTTCTAGCCCCTTATTTTGCATTATTAACGAGTTCCTTGAAATGAGTAATAAAGAATTGACATTGTGATAAACACCAAAGGCAAAATATAAACCTATTATATATATGCACACACATTTTGTATTGATCATATTTTGTTTTGGTAGATCTAGAAATTTACTTATTTAGAATTATAAGTCAATTTCAGAAGTTTAACAGCAAGTTAAACATAATAAAAGGACTAGTAAGCTTAAAGTCAAGTCAGTAGAAATAACCCAACTGAACACAGAGAAAGAGGCTGGATAGAATATCAGGTGCACGTGGGATAATATAAAATAACTTGATAGATATGTCAGTGTAGTTTCAGAGGAGGAGAGAGAGTGGGTTTACAAAAGCAAAAGAACCAAGGCATGGCTCTTTACAATTTTAAGGTCTTTTTAAAGTATTGTGTAGGATAATATAAAGTGGCATTTTTTATTTGCAGAGTTTATCTTAGTAATGGGTAAAAAATCATTTGTAGAATAAGATATTTTAAATTTTATTCACTAATGTGATAGTAGCATTCCTAAGAGAGAAACGCAAAAGTAATTCAGATAGACTCTTGATAAGCGAAAACAAAGTGTTGAGATTCAGGGAGCTGTAACAGAAGAGCATGGTATAGTAGAGCATTTCATCATGATATTTAACTTTTATTACTTTTTATTTTTGCATTTTATGTATTTTACATTAATGTGTGTGAATGTGTGTGGATATCGCATGCCATGGTGTATATGTAGAGGTCAGAGGACAAAATGCAGGAGTTGGTTCTCTCCTTCCACCCTGTGGGTCTTTGGGTCTGGACATCACTCTGCCACTGTTATTTCTTCAGCTCTTGACATGCTGCTTTTGCTCCATATCCCATATTCAGTCCTTTAGCATAAATTTTATCAATATTACCTTTATTGTAAGTAGTTTTTCAGTGTACGTATACATGTTACACACACACACACTCCAACTATTTCTTACCATCTGAACTGCTACATCATATCAGTTTTAATTTCATTATAAATATATACATAGTGGGGTGTGGTAGCACATGCCTTTAATCCATAGGCAGAGGCAGGCAGATATTTTTGAAATTGAGCCAGTCTAGTCTGCTTAGGGAGTTCCAGGCCAACTGGGACTGCAGGGACACCGTCTCAAAAAAAAAAAAAAATTCAGTGTGTATGTGTACACATGCACACATACAACCATGCCTCACCATCTAGATTGCTACAGTGTTATCTGCTATTTTTTTCCTTTGGATTAGGCAAAACAAAACAAAAAACAAAGTATCCTCCTAATCTTTTCATTTCTGTTTCTGTCCTTACCTTGCTTTACTTTATTCTTCATACAGTTGCCAAAATGAGTTATATAAGCATACATCTTGGGACTTCTAATCTTCTAATGGCTTTCCTCAAAGAACTTCCTGTTCAGTTTCCTTGTTCAATATTTTCTCCATAA